GTTGTATAGCATGAAATAAACTCATAGTACTTCTGAATATTGTCCTGGCTCCTCGCACCTGACAATTTTGTACTTGCTGTCTCATTTATTTATTTATTTATTTATTTATTTGCTTTCTGGAAGTTAAACTTACGTCTTTATTATATGTCATGCTTTTTTCAACTGTTTTAAGGATTTATTTGTTTACTGATTAGATTTATGTGCCAGTAAATCTAGAGGCAAACAATCCACTCTATGTTCTTGCTTTTGGCTAAGTTTGTATTTTGTTATTTTGAAGGGAGAAGGGCTGGGGGAGAAGAAACATTTTCCCAAAGCTCTGAAAACATGTTTGTTTGGAAAGCTCCAAATTATTATGTTAATAAATACAGGGCATTTACAGTTGGAAAGGAAAATGAACCGGCATGTAAGCCTCCACCTAACCTGTAATAATCATCTGGTAATCCTTTGCTATTTCATAACACAAAGGAGGGGGGAAGTCAATCAGCCATCAGAGTCCACTAAGAGTTGCAGAGCATGTTCATTTGCAGCTGATGTATAATCTGAATAACCTTGCAGACCACATTAACAAGCAACACAATAGTAGGGGGTACACATTGCCAGCTTTGATGTCCTCCATTTCTGTTTCCAAATTGACTCCCTGCTCGCCTGCCCTGTCCTCAGATACATTCAGTGTTATTTGATAAATTAATTACCTTGGTGACATCACCTGGCCATTGAGCCTCACTTGGATGTTGGATAACCAACTCAGCAGGCCAGCCATATTTCAAAAAAAAATTTTTTAAAAAAAAAGAGTCAGTTGTGTAAAACAGAGATGAGCAAACAGAGGAAAGTGCAGACAGCTCAGGAAAACATTAATGAAAAAGAGATGAATTAGAATGGGCCACTTATTAGGTCCAATGTGGTGTCTATTTAAATAATGGGCATATTCATTAGTGCCAGAGAGGCTGTGAAGAATGTGTTCAACGGAGCTGGTAGATTGAAGCTGACTGTTTGCCAAGAGTTGAAGGGAAAGAAGGAGCAAGGAGGGGAAAAGGCAAATTCGCCTTTAAGAAATTCTCTTTTCTTTGCATTTGAATGGTCCCAGCAACACAGGATATCTTGTTATTTAGGGCCACAAATTAAGCAGGAGAGGATATTCAAGAGAAGGTTAGATTATACTCTTGCAAACCGAGCCTGTGATAGAGAGGCAAAGATCGCTCCTCATCCTGTCTATGTCAGCATTCTATGTATACAGTCATTAATTTATTCCAAAAATTCAACCTCGGTCTGCACATTTAAAGCCTCCACACCTAGACGGAAATAGGCATTTGCCTTATGCACAATTTTCTGCAACGTGTGCATTTTGTAGAAAGCTCGCCCCCCTCCCACTTCCTAACATGGTCTTTTGTTTCCAATGCAACCTTTTTTTGCACGTGTATCCACTTTGATACTCAGATTATCTTTGCCTGCAATACCTTTGCAGAGAAAAATTCTAAAACAAATGCTAGAAGACTCCAAATTAGATAACTTGTTCCTATCTCCCCAGATGCAGTTTGGATAGATCACACCATTCCACCCAGAAAGAAATACACACTGCATTCCTCTGAAAGGCCTGTCTTATATTTAGTGATGAATATCACCCTTAGCAAAAAATAAAGCATCAAATGCTAAGCATCTCTAGTCAATCCATTCCAATACAGGTAATCCTTCTTGTTATGACCACAATGGAGCCTGAAATTTTTGTTGCTAAGTGAGACAGTTGTTAAGTGAATTTTGCCCTGGTTAAGTTAGTCACAGGGTGGCTATTGTGAATCTAACTTGTCAGAAGGCCGCAATAAGTGATCACGTGACCCCAGGACACTGCAACTGTCATAAGTATGAACCACTTGCCAAGCATCTGAATGCAACAGAGAAGGAATTTTCTTGGTCACACAAGATGGCAATTTTAACAGAAGAGGACCTGGAACACACCCACTCTGCTAGAACATGCTTGGTGGGAAAAACACATGGAGATTATTGGTCTTTTAGGAAGACTGAATGCCATATATTTATATTGTACACTTTATACTTGGGTTTTCTGTGCTGACTAATTGATTAAAATAAACAAGCCAAATCAATTAACTGTTTGAACCCCCTGAACACTCCAATCAAATGATTTTCTGTCACTTGTTTTCAATAGATGAAGACAAGTGAAAAAGCAATGGAAGGGAAGGATGAAAGAAAGAAAGGAGACGGGAGAAAAAAAGAAAAGATCAAAACCAGGAGAGAACAAACAGGAAGACAGCTGAATCTAAAGATACACGCCAAATAGAATGGGACAAAACCCGGCAAAGGAATTTTCCTCCTAAATCCGTGTATTTTAATTGTGGTATTGTTGTGGCTTATGTATATTGCTGAAATATGCTAAGTCCTAAACAAGGCCTTTGAAGAAAGAGGCGCAATGGCTCAGTGACTTAAAAGATGCCAGAGAAGGTCTATGCTGTGGCGGTTTGAGTCCTAGCACCACATGACAGTGTGAGCTTCTGTCCCTTACCTCAGTTTTTGCTAGCCTAGCAGTTCAAAAGCATGCAAATGGAAGTAGATAAATAGGTTCCACTTCAGTCCCACTCCAGTGGGAACTAAATGGCGCTTCGACCAGCAGTAAGAATTCAACCAATGCTGGATCTGCCTGAAAGTGACATCTTGAATGCAAGGTGACGTTGGTGATGGGAAAGGCCCAAGATGACACTGCAAAATGCCATCAAGTCTGAGTATGGAGCTAGTTTTCTCCCTTGGTGCACTCTTTATAGCACGTTGAGTATGACTAGTAATTGTCAGCAATCAAACAACTACTTTGTAGCAACACTGTAGTCTCCTGGCTAATATAACACCACCACATACTAATTAATAAAGAACCCATGGAAGAAAAAATGAGGACTGTGTGGAAGAAGCTAAAGTGTAGATAGGAACACACCCAAGCTTCCAAAGCTTTCTCCTTTTCTACATGTTCAGCCATTGCTGACTTTTAAGAAAAAAAAAAGGGGGGGACACTAAGTTGATAAGAAGGGCTTTCAATTCCAGGGGGTCTCCACTTAGAATAATTTATTCTCTCCCGTGCCACTAATCCACCTTAAAATCCATTTGAGCCAACTTGAGCCCAATATATAAGCATCATCCTGGAAACAAATAGCATATTATTTCCTGCAGTGTATAGAAAAGATTTTCAAGTCTACGTTCACTGAAAGAACAGTAGGAGAGGGGGAAAAAAAAGGGAGGGTATATTAGACAGCCTAACTGAGAAAGTGGGGAAAGGGGGAAAAGAGAGACATACTTAAAAAGAGGGTTTTTTTCACTCTGGATTCTGCTGAAAAGAGGAAGCAGTCCCAATTACCGTTTCCTTGCTGGCGATGACAAATGCAAAAGAATGCAGAGAGCTTTGAGTAGGATCTAATAGTTTTTCTGGCAAATGAGGCATGAAAGTTATTGTTAAAAAAAAATCAGATGCCCAATGTGGTTTCTGGTACTTTATCTTCCCAGGTGACACAACTCCTAAAAGTTTAAGGGGACTGGAGGTTGTGGGCAGTGAGGAGAGTTCAAGATGGCAACATCAGATGACCCGATGTGTCTCATGAGAAGAGGTAATTCTTTCTTCTTCTTGTGCCATATCCGTTATCGGGCATTGGTGATCATGTTGGTGATCATGTTTTTATCAGCAGCTGCACGAAAAAGTGCTGCTGAGTTTTGTCCAAACCAGTCCCTTAAATTTTGAAGCTACGATGTTCTTCTTCTGCCTGGACCTCATTTGCCTTCAATCTTTCCCTGGAGGATTAAATAGAGTATGCCGTATTTTTCTGGGTGTCGCATCACATGTCCGAAATATTCTAATTTTTGTTTTTTAATTGTTTTGGTGATTTCCCTTGGCTTTCCCAGGTGGCTTATCCCCTCCTCATTTCTGATCTTGTCAACCCAGCTTATACGTAACAGCCGCCTGTAAATAATAATCCAAGCAAACTGGTGAAAGACCATTTTCTGAATGCTGAAGCTGAGTTGCCAAAGAAGTAATGCTAGGATTTTGGACATTGATAAAAACAGATCTCTGACACCTTCTATTATATTATATTAATACATGACTATGGTTATTTTTGGTTGATTTTTTTTTTGTTTAAATGTATCTTTTAAATGTGGTGGTCATGGTTGTTTTTTTCTTATTCGCCACTCAGAGCTGGTTTGGAATGTAACAGCAAAGAAATTTTCATAATCAGATACAAACCTCCAATAACTGGATGGAAAATAGCTTGACAAAACAGCTGAAAATGACATATCTAATGATCATGAATGCTCACCTCAGACTAAATACCACCACACACACCATAGATAAACTGTGACCCACACAATACAGAGAAATGCTGACAACCACCATCAAGATGACAAGCTGAAAAAAGGAAAACAAATCTTCAAATCAAATTGCTCAAGCTAAATCCCAGAAACAAATAGGTTCCTGAACTCAAATTGGTAGCCAACACGTCCAGCTGTCCACTCTGCATTGTAGAACACAATACCCTTCAGAAAGGTCACAATTATAACACTCACAAAACAAGAACAATGATGGCTAAAAAACAGTAGACCCATCCTCTCACGCTTCTATGGATGGCCGAAAATACACAAGCTGGCCTGCATTTTCATCCAATTGTACTATTACTAGGAACTCCCAGATGGAATAAAGAACTTACAAAACAAAACAAAACAAAACTTGGACATCTCAGAGGATGAAACTTTTGCATTTGTATCCTCATTTTTTCTGTTTGCACTAGATATCCCCTAGTAGCCAAAATGTAAACTTAGCCAATGCCTTATGGTCTAAGTACGAGAAAGCTCCTTTTAGCTGACATTAATTTCAATGCAGAATACATAAGGCTGAGAAATCATCAACTCACACTCACACATACACAGAGCAGACAAGAATAGTTCACAAAGGTCCCATTTCCTGGTATCTTGAAAGCCAACAACTAATTTGGTTTTAGATAAACTGTTACTGGTCTGACCTTTGTGACTGGAGATCAGCCATTTCCTCTTCCAGGTCCAATAGAGTCTCTGCCTGGGTCATCACTTTCTTGCTGCATGGCAGGGATTTAAGTTGAAGGACCAGAAGTCCAAGGCAGAATTTGGCCCCCATCTCCTCCAGTTCTGAAGTTCCCATCTGAAGACCCTAGAAGCAAAAAAGAAGACGGAGGGAGAGAAAGTAACGTTAGAACCCAGAAGGAAATTCCATAATCAGCAGTTCCTTTGTTTTACCTGTATTGGCTCCAGAGAAATCAAAAGGCAAATGATTGTTCACAAAACTTTCCAAATGGATATGGATGAAAACAAAGAGCCTTTGGCAGGCAGTAGCAGGAAAAAAATGCAGACAGTGATGTTTGATACAAAGACAGATGTCTTACAACATGCAAGCTAGTGATCCTCCAGATTCCCAAATCTCAGCTACCTTGGTCTCCTTAGTAGTCCTCCCCCCTTTACTTTCTTACTACAATGAACTAAGAGAAATGTTGCCCCAGGCAGACTTGAAGAAACATTGAAATTAGTTCCCTCCATCATGATTTCTTTTCTCCAAACACAATAGAAACGTAATGATCACTAAATGCTTGTCTTTCACTTGTGTGTGTAGATCTGTGTTGGCTCACCTCCTTCCACCTCTGAGTCCTCCCCTAAAACCAGCCTGTCCCTGAAAACAATGATGCAGTGCCTAGCCTTTCAACCTTTATTAAAATTATTCACAAGTAAACTAAACTTTAGGTGCACTTCAGTGCAACAAAGCCTCAATCAAAGCAGCTCTTTGAAGGAAACCACCTCATCAAAGCTTCTGAAGTGACAGATGAGAACAAACTAGCCCACTTTCATCCAGATGCTAAAAGGGGCTTCTGTATATGTGGAGAGAATGAGACTTCATTCTGCCAGATGGGAATAGCCAGTCACATTGAGTTATCCCACTGTGAATCAAAGGCTAGAGATTGGTTTTTGTTTTTAGCAAGAGGGCTAGCAATGGTTCTGATTCAGCCAATACCATAGAGTGGAACAGAGTTACTTCAGGCAGATTTACTAAATGAACACTTGATCTTGTTGAAAGAAAAATCTTCATCAGGGTCCAGTCCAAGCTGGGAATAATCAAAATGGAGACTGCTTTAGAAAGAAGGTTGCAGTTTATTGAAGAGGAGAGCCAGACAGAAGCTTGGCTCTGGGAAAGCTGATCACATGTAGTAGGGAGTGGTAGGTTTTTATACCTTCTTGGGCTTTTGTTTGGAGTTGTTCCTGTGGCATGAGCTTTGACCTGAGTCTGAGTGTGCCTTTCTGGTATTCTAAAGGTGGTGGGTTAATTGTATTATGTCCCAAAGGTCATATCCTGCTTCCCTGGGGCTGGGGCTGATGACTGTTGGATTTTTGGTGTGAGGAATTGTTGATTCTAGGGATTTTTGTCTTTCTAATCCCAGTTTCCTGGCTCCAATCTTTCGGACAAGATTATAACATCTGCATTTCTGCAGACCTGGTTTCTACTTGGGGCAGAGAGACTTGGGGTGGGGGGTGGTTTCTGTTTTTAAGAGCCTTTGGGGAAATATAATCTGCCTTTTAATATTCCCCCAAATATTTCTTTTTCTGGGGGGGAGGCTGACTGAAGAATTCTGGGAGTTGAAGTCCACAAGTCATAAAAGGGCCAAGTTTGAAGACCCCTGCACTAGAGAAAACTGGCTTCAGAAAGTAAATAAAAATGCCCTGTATGGGCTTCAGCTCATGGAAATTGTATGCATACTGTACTGCTTTCTTAACAGTATCACTAAAATGATGTGCACTTGCCTTTTTTCCAGTCTGCATTACAAATCTGACCTTCATTCCATATCCAAGGACTAAACAAACCCACCTCAGTTTAGCTTCCAAATCCAGACAAGCCTGGCTAGCTGTTGCTGAAGGATTTCCATCTTTCTGCTGCCCTTCCTAAATGTGGATAAGTGTGTATTCTTGAGTATACATTTGCTAAAGAGGCATAACATTGAAGGAGCAGTGTTAAAAGCAGTGCAGATTTATAGATTCCAAAAATCTGAGCCAGCTTCTGGGCTCGCTCTTTGCACTGTTCACGATAGCTCCAATTAATATGCTGTCCAACTGCTTGCTGCCTGAATTAGTGGGGAAAGGAGACTGTCAATTTATTTATACCCAGCCACAGGGCATTGCCACTGCGTGTTTGTAAAGCTATTATGATGCAGGGAGCATTCTGTGAGCATACATGTGCAGACTAGCTGGTAACAAGGTAGATAATGCCAACGATTATCCCCAGAGAGAGCACCTGGCATATTCTATTGCTCAGTGGACTTCATTTTCTTTCCCTCATTTTGTCAATAAACACATGGGCTTTAAAACCTGGTGCTTATTATTATTTGTGTGGGGCTAATGCACCAGCTCCCATCTGTGTAGGCTTTCCATTTACAAATGAACCTTGATTGGCAATGGTTCTGCTAGCCAGGTTGATAACCAAAGGCCTATTCATGTCTTTCTCTGTACTTCTATGCATCCTCTGGAGGAAAGCTCATCTAATAATGGAAAGAATTACTTTCTGAAGACAAGGAAACCAAATATTAGACCTTCCCAGATAATTATTTGTGCAGTTCTGCTTTCCTGACTCTTAAGAGATGGCTTTTCCTTGCTCTGTGTCTCCTTCCATAGTATCTCCTGAATATTCCAAGATATTATTTCACCCATCCTCTTTCACCCATCACCATCTATTTTCTAAGGAATGAATTTACACTACAAAATACAGCCCTCAAATGTTTAATTGGCTTTTGGTTCAAGCTATTTAGAATATTGCTGTGTATCCACTGCTACTCTTTGTCTCTCTGTTCAAAATTTAGTCTGTCTCTTGGGGCAAGGATACTGCATGCTAACATGCTGTTTGCACACTGGTGTTACTAAATTCATAAAAGTAATATTCCCTTCTCCTTTTAACTTCCCTCTACTCCAGCAAAGGGAGGGGATCCAAAAGAACAAACAGGCTGGTGATTTTGTTGAGTTAAAAACTAGATGTCAACGCTGCTAACATTGGATGTTCTTGCTTTGACAACAGATGGAAATGCAGCCATTTTTCACTATTGCTTTTAGAGTTAGTTGATGCTGGGAGAGGGAATGTGGATGAGAGTCCAGCTAGTCATAACAATAATAACTCAGTCGTGGGAACTCAAGGTCATTGGGCCCAGAGTTGATAGAGTTTTGGCGGCTGGAATGCTGGGGAGAAAGCCTGGGCTTCAAGCTAATTGGAGAATGTGATTTATGACTGTTTATTGGAGGAGGGAAATGTGCTTTGTTACTTTGTATCCAGGGGAGGGGAAATTTAGTTTTTGGTTTTGACTATGTAGTGCCGATATTTTGTTTCTCAAATAAAAGATTCTTTAAGGTAAATAATGCCTCGAAGTTCTTTTGAAGAGTTTCATCTGTCGGAACCACAACACTAAAGCCCTGACTTGATCTGAAGTGAATTCAAGTGTGCTAAAAATAATCCTCCAGCTAAGTTTTTTTTTTCCAGCTCTTATACCTGAGCTGCCAGTTTTACTAAAGCAACAGATGGGACTCTGAGCAGGTTAAACAAAGTGGAAGCAATTACAGTGGGGTGTTTCTCAAGGCTGTTATTTCAAATTTTTTCATCATTATGATGTTCCTGCCCATAAAGTTGGCTTCCTTTAAAAAAAATCTTTACACATTCATAGAATGCTCAAAGGAATCATGAAGCCACAGAAAAGTTTTTGTACGGTTGCTTCCTTATGCCTTGGAGATCAATTGGTACTTTTTTCTCTGATTGAGAAATTGCTGTGGTAAAGAAAATAAAATTCTGGGATGGCTCTTGCCTGGAATCATCTAGCCATCAGTCAGGTGGTATAAGCCTCTCATCACTACTGTTCTATTAGCACAACAATAGTTGGATGTCTTAAGAAAACAGACGTTATTTAGATTAATGGCCAGAATAGGACTTCATCTAACTTCTGAGTTTAGGAGTAAAGATCAAAGTAGAAATTGGGTTAAGATAAAGTTACAACTGGAGATTTGACTTATACAGGAGGTATGAAACTGTTCTCCACTGAATTATCTCCTTGGCTAAATATCTATGGAGATTCTCCATCACCCAGGTCATGGTTGTTCCAAAGGTGCTTTTCCAAAAGGCAACTGGACTTTCTTTGTTTTTTTTCCTTGAAAATGTTTCACTTCTCATTCAGTTCAGTTCAGAATGGAAGAAGCTTCTTGGATGAGAAGCAAAATATTTTCAAGGAAAAAAAAACAAGAAAGTTCAGTGGTCTTTTGGAAAGGCACCTTTGGGATATCTAAAGGATATCTCCTTTAAGACAGGGGTCTTCAAACCTGGCCCTTTTATGACTTGTGGACTTCAACTCCCAGAATTCCTCAGCCAGGCATGCTGGCTGAGGAATTCTGGGAGTTGAAGTCCACAAGTCATAAAAGGGCCAAGTTTGAAGACCCCTGCTTTAAGACATAAAGTATTTTTTTTTTTTTTGTAAAAGCCAGTATAATGAAGTGGTTGAGATGAGTTTGAAAATCCCAAGTTCGTGTCTGTCCTTGATACTTTTAAGAAAAAATTCCCCCATGACAACTATTTTAAGTTGATGTGAACCATAAATACGAATGTTTTGGCACTGACTATTCAGCACTTCATGAGCAATTGACCACAAAGGAGCAGTAAATAAAGGGTTAACAAATTTTGTTTCTACTCTTTGGCTAAATAATTGCTAATCTGGAGTCACTTTTCTACCTTTATTCCTAGGCACATACATATACAAGGCCATTTTTTTGGCTCTCTTTTTGGCAGGGTATATTTAATCATGGACTAGTTTTTGCCTCTTCCTATACTGTATTTCTTGTAAGTAAATCTTATTTTTCATTTATTGCTATGAGGCCTTTTGCATTAATTCTTTCGCAGATTAGATTTATGTTCTCAGGAATGCACATACAGACACAAGACTGCCTCATCCTCCATCAAAATCATTATTGTCACCACATCACTGCAGCTTCACCAAGCTAAGTGCCTCCAAAATGTCTTTGATGCTAAGCCCATCAATTCTACCCTGCGTATTCCCTGGTTTAAAATGGATCTTAAGTCAAAAGCATTTAACAGGATCAAAGTTGACAACAGTCAATATAAACCAATTAGCGTACATGATATAG